TTTTTGAGACAGAGCCTCAAGCTGTCACCCTGGGTAGAGTGCTGTGGTATCACAGCTCACAGCAACCTCCAACTCCTGCGCTCAAGCGAGTCTCCTCTCTCTGCCTCCTACGTAGCTGGGACCACAGGCGCCTGCCACAATGCCTGGCTATTTTTTGGTTGCAGCCATCATTGTTGTTTGAGGGGCCCAGGCTGGATTCGAACCCGCCAGCTCAGGTGTATGTGGCTGGCACCTTAGCCGCTTGAGTCACAGGCACCAAGCCCAGATCAGTATTTTCGAAAGTTCAAAGCACAGTAAATATATATTTTTCCTCTTTATTTATTTATTTTTTTAATGAGACAGAGTCTCACTTTGTCATCCTCGGTAGAATGCCGTGGTGTGACAGCTCACAGTAACCTCCAGCTCTTGGGCTTTGGCAATTCTCTTGCCTCAGCCTCCCAAGTAGCTGGGACCATAGGCACCTGCCACAACGCCCGGCTATTTTTGTTGTTGTTGTTCCAGTTTGGCCACGGCCGGGTTTGAACCTGCCGCCCTCAGTATATGGGGCCGACGCCACAGGTGCCGCCCTTTTTTTTTTTTTGATCAACATCTAAATATGCCTTAACTATAGGTTCACATGTGCTGTTGAGATTTTTAAAAGTTTGAAAAACACTGCTCCCCCATCTGGGGGTACTGAAACAGCATTGCTGAAGCAGGGCTCTGGGGCCTAGCGTCTTGCTCTGCTTGCAGTTGATCATTAACCCTCAGCATTACTTGAGCATTTGACTCTGTGACAGACACTACATGAGACATTGGTGTTTGGGGATAATTCAGGTGTGATTTCTCCTCTCCAGGAATTCACAGTCTAGAGGAGGAACAGGGGAACAAGCACATGAATACATTTGGGAACTGAATGGAGTTCAGGAAAATAGAAAATGGGATGCTCAAATTCTTCTGGGTTGCCACTATAAATTGCACAGAAAGCTGCAATTTGTACATGGTATTCCCATGCCCTGCTGAGCAGTTTCTTGAGTTATGTTTGAGAAAAAAGTATGACCATTTCTGTAGGAATGAAGATAAAGGATTTTTATAATTAAAACATTGAATATGTCATCTGGCTCCCTATATATTCAATGATAGCATATTTGTAGTAACAAGTGGATTCTATAATACAGCCTGTCTACATTAGTGCAGGTAAAAAAAACCTTTGTAAGAAAACTTAATCTGTATTCCTTTTGAGTATGTGCTGGAGTCTGGCCTTTGAAAACATCTGCAAAGACAAGAAGTTCCTTAGAGAAAAATCACTTCTGTGAAGGTCAAGGAAAGCAGTGCAACTGGGTGGGCAGAAAGTCCTTTTATCAGCAAAGTGTGAAATGAGTTTTAGTACCCCTCACCTAACATGTAATCATGTAGCTTTTTTTTTTTTT